CCTCTAAATTATTTCTATTGGTATATATAATTATAGAATCAGGCCTATCTAATCCTAAGGAATTTGACTAAACTCCTTGATAACAGTAGTTTTATTAGAGGTAACATAGATAACTAGTACTTTCTAGCACTAACGGTAGTGGAGGTGATAATCTTGGCAATTCTAGTAGGATATATCAATAGTGGTGGTGGTAATCTATAAGTAACTAAGATAATTGTGGGATAATAACCTATAGTCCAGGGCTATGAAATCAAAAATCTAGGTCTAGGGAAGATAATGTTAGTAACTAAAATAGTGATAGTAGTAGTAGTAGTAGTAGTAGTAGTAGTAGTAGTAGGGACGATAGTATCAGGGGGATAGTATAATTATATATAATAATGAGTAGTAGATCTAATATATAGGTATAGATTTAGAGATAGGCCTCCTTTATAAGCTACTATATTAAGATCTCTATAGAGAATATATATAATAGAACCTTAAGGGTATCCTGAGATATTGCTCTGAATATACTTATAATTTATTTAGTATAGTACCTTTATCTAGTTAGTTTTAATTATTAAACACTAGTTCATACTCCAGATATATTATAATAAGTACCCATATATAATCTAGGATAGTAATACCCTAGGTTATATCAGTAATCAATAGAGTATAGTAGTTAAATAAGTAGCTTTTTATAATAGATAATATAAATCTTTCTAGTTCACTTTTAATTAATTGAGATCTAGATATTTAATTAATTTACTAGATTCTACTTTTATATTCCTAGGATACCTATATCTAATTAGTGATAGTATTAAGTTTTTTAAGAGTAAGAATATAAAGATTTCTCTATACTTATTAGGTATAAACTAGAATATATACTAATTGGCCTAGTAATTATAGAGATAGTACAGCTATTTAAGATACTTATAGTTCTTCTATATAGTGTTACACACTTAGCTAACTAGTCACAGTAAGTGGTTAGATCTTGGGTAAATAACTTACTAGTTGTTCTCTGTGTCGTTGGTTGTCTGTGATATCTATCACTTATACTCCTTAAGTCTAAACTTACAATCATACTGTTACTGTGCTAAGCCTTATATAGACTCAGAGATTCTATAGAGTAACTTTAAAGAAGGTACTAGGTAGTACACCAAGTATATTAGTCTAAATAGCTCCCTTACTTATAGTATATTTGTCACAAGAGATAAAACTAAATAAAGAGTAATCTAAAGGTATACTATAGTAACTTAGATTAATTAATCACGAATAACTAAATATATATATATAAGGAGTATCCTATATATATCTAGCCCTTTCTTTCCTATTGAGAGGACTTCCTTCTATTTATAAGAATAGGTCTATTCTGTCTGAACAGATATATTAGTATACACCAGCTATATAATCCCTTTGTTCCTATATCAGGTCCTATTATAGAATCTACTATAATTCTTCTTAATTAACTAGGAACCTATAGTCTATCCTATATTAGTTCTGGTCCTAGGATTTGTTATATTGTAGAATATAGTCTATTGTATAGATTATCCTATTATAGGTTGGTAGGGTCTATATAGTGTTTCCTGCCTTAGGGTTGTATCCTTACTTTACTACTTAACCTTCCTTAGCTGAACCTATAGCCTTCCCCCTGGCTGCTCTAGTTATTATATATTATACTACCTTGGTAGGGATACTATAGTTTTTGTTATAGTATTTGTATATAATCTATAGGTGATTATGGTGGTTATAGAATGGTTGGCTCTTAATGGCCTGTTTGTGGTTTTAACCTCTCCTGTCTTAGGGTCTGTAACAACTAATTAATTAAAGATATCTCTTTTAAAATACTAATAGTATATAAGCTTAATTTCTAACTATAAGAATATACTTCTTACTAAAGAAAATCTAATCTATCTTTAAGTTATTTATAAAAGAATAAAGAAAAGTCTTCTATAAGTATAGATATTATGGTAGAAAGTATATAATAATAAATATAAATTAAAGAAATTAAAGTAAGGAAATCTTATAGATCTCTTAATAAGGAATCTAAAACTTAGAGAAATCTAAAATAAGAAGATAATTAATAATAAATCTTATTACTTTATAAAATAGATAGAATAGCTAAGTAAATATAATATCTAGGAACTAGTTATAAATCCTACTAGTACTAAAGATATACTCTATTCTTTTCAATAAAATAAAGAAAAGATAAAAACATTTAAGATAATCTTTTAAAAGAAAGAAGATAATAGAAATAATAAAGAAAAAAAGTCTAAATTACTAAGAATCTATAAAGTAATCTATAGTCTACCAAATAACCTCTATGGAACCTAGAAGATTATTAAGAAATATTACTTAACTAATATTCTTAAACCTTATAAACTACAAAGTACTACTAACTATAACTAAATTTGAAAGACTCTAGATAAAGTAATTTATTAAGAATAGATATCCTAGAAGTAGACCTATAATATAGGTATATCATTACTCTAATAATAGCTTAAGATAGACTACTCTCTTAGTATCTTTATTAACATTAATTCCCTATATATTGTAGTCTTTATTATATATTATTAGAAGTAATTGAAAGATAGTTACTAATTCCTAACTACTCTATATTATAATAGACTAGTAATTAGAGCCCTATATTACTATAGTATTATTAAAATACTTTAAATGAGTACTATTAGAATATATACTAGAAACCTAATTAAGAATCTTAATAAGTATCTTTAACTCTCTAAGTATTAAGACTATAATTTATTAAAATAGAATTAGTAATAAAATCTAATAGAAATCTAAGTAAGATAAAATACTTACTTATATACCTTATTACTATTTATACAAAAAATTAGTATTTTAAGAAACTGGAATCCTAATTATAAAAGACTAAAAAAATATTATCCCTGTAGTCTAAGATCTAAAAATTAAAAAGAATATAAATTTTATAGAGAAGGTAAAAGAAATAGTAATAATTATAAAGATAATCCTATAATAATATGTAAGTAGTATCCACACTATCATTATCTTCTATATTATTTTCTAGAGTAGAAATCGCTATAGAAACTACTATACTATATCCCTAGCCTTAAGTAACTATATTCTCTTATACTAAACCTTATATAATATCTATATCCTAACTTATTATTAGTATAGTTTTAACTAGAAGTATAAAGAGATATAAGTTAAAAGACTTTTAAGAATATCTTAATAGATAGAGAAGATTAGTAATATACAGAATTTTACATAGTTTTATATTTAATAATTACTCTATTATAGTAAACTCTTTCTTACTATACCACCTACTATAAATAAAGTAATAACTTATTAAAAAAGAAGCTATAGATATCTCCTTTAGTATAAAATAAAGGATTATACTATTAATAAATACCTTAAATAAGGCCTCTTTAAAAGAAAGATAGTTATAATAGGAAAAACCTTAGATTATATTAAGATAGATCAGATACAATACAAACTAGTGATATTAATTACAGAGTATACTATTCTAATTATCCTACTTCGTGAGGGAGGTGATTCAGGCTTGAAAAGGATATAAAACCTTGGTGATATAGAATTCTTGAGGTTCTTCAAGAATTAGTTTTGATTCAATCCTGAATATACTATCTATCTTAGTTGTGCTATCCTTGCCTTACCTAGTCAATATCTTAACCTTTACACTACTATATCTAATCCCTCTAGTAGCTCTTACTTGGTATAATACTGACTATATAGAGTACAATTACTTTAGCTAGTTAAGCTAAAAGACAAATATTATACTATTTTCTATTCTAAGGCTTAAATACTTTATTATATAGTTTACTATTAAAACTTGAATTTTTGTATTAAAGTCTGCTCTTTTTTCGAAATAAAATTCCTTTATGTATGTATATCAGGATAATTTTAATATACCCTAGTGAATCATTCATTACCTTAAGTTAGTAGTTACCTTCACTGGTTATAATTAAGAACTAGCTATTTAAACTAAAAGTATAGCTATCATTTCCTGAAGTCTAGAATATAAGTAGAATCTAAAACACTTTACGGCTTATCTTTATGTAATTAACTATTAGCATAGTATCTTTTTGAATATAGCAGTATATATATTTATATATATTCTTTCAGATATGCCCTCTAACTTTAAACTGTTTCCCAAAACACTAGTAAACTTGAGGGTTTTTCTTTCCTACTTATCTATATTCCAACTATGGTATTTAATTTCCTAAGTCTGATGAATAGCTTGAATTACCATTACCATTAGTACAACACTCATATCGTCCAGCAGGGCACTCGTGAGACTTCACGACCGTTGCCCTTAGCAACAATATTCTGTCATAGCTCTGAAGTTGAGCACTTTCCCTCAGTTCGCAGTATAATAAGGTATTCTGGTGAAACACCCCTGAAAAATTGGCAAATTAAATAGCAGTCGCCATGTGGACATGTATGTTATATTCAACCATCTATCTTACTTATTTACTGACATCCACAACCTGCGTTTCCTATTCCAGCAAGGTTCAAGAATTAGATAAAGTGTTTGGATGATTCATATCTAATATTTGTTCCTGCTTGGCTAGACAGGTTCAAAATATGTCGGTGGCTTCGGCATCACGACATGAAGATTTCCAGGTGAATGAAATACTAGCAATACTCGACAGCGTGCGGGGATGATCCTTGCCGAGCTTCGTCTTGCTCGTCTCTCCATAACCTGCACGTGGAGCTGCTCGGCCTCTTCACACCGGCCCTGGTTCCGGTACGTCTATGCCAGTTCGTTTCGTACTCCACAGCATGTTGGGATGGTCGTGGCCGAGCTTCGCCTTGCTCGTCTCTATCACTACTTAGAACTCCGATTTTTCACGGACTTGATGGCCTCGGCATATTCTAGGTCAAGGACTATATCAAGGAGATAGTCCCTCAAATTTTGTGACCTGGTCTGAATTACATTCGAACAAAAAGTATGGTTTTCTTTGATACATACTCGAGGATATGCGCCCAGAAAAGCGGAGTAGAGGAATTGAATTGGTGTGCTTTTATCTGCGAAATTTTCTAAAACAGACATCTTGTTCAAGAATGTCCCAAATCGGCTCGTGGAGAGATAACGCGATATCTATTCCAAGCCTGTCGGTATCACCACCTACTTCGCTGCCCGTTGGTAGAAAGTAGGCAAGCCCATCGACTAACGAGGTCTCCGTGAACGGGGGCCATACCCGCTCTGGAAGTACAGGTTTTCCCTGATTGTCCGTCTCAAAATGGACCGCATAGAAATGAAGCTTGTTCCATTGACTGATAATAAAGCTTCTCTCGTTGAATCGACACCGCAAATTTATGTGATTCTTTTTGGGCTGTGCCATCACCCATGATAAAGTTTCCGTCTGATCCTTGGGTGTTCTTGCGCGCAAAACCTCATGTATCATGCGCGCAGTTTTTGGCAACGCCTGGTGAGAAAGATCTTTTAGAGGCAAAGTGATAAAAGGCTCGGATACAGCGTTCGGGAAGTATCTCGGTGGAAGCTTGAGGCGTGTCGACTCTCTCCAATCAAGTGATGTAAGAAGGTCCGCGGTCTCTCCACTGTTGTCAAACGCGGTATTGCCTAAGCCTCGATAGCGAAGTCTTGCTCGCTGGACACTCAACCAGAGGTGTGCTGAGATTGCTTCGAAAGTTGAGACCCAATGATCTTGTGGGGAAGGACTTGCGGCATGTTTCAAGGCATTCAGTTCAGCTGGGCCAAAATATAGCACCTTTCCAGTGACAGGCTTGTTTGACGTAAAGCTCATCACTGCTGGGAGTTTTTGAACCTGATAATCAACAGGCTTGACGCTCAATGCTTTTTTGGATTCCCGCAAGCTTAAAGAAACATTGGATAGGTGGGAGGTGATACAAGGCATTTGGCTTGGCTGTACGCTCTTTGGCGAGGTGTTTGTTTGTCCTGATGTTCGGAATCCACGGTATATTTCTGAAAGATCTTCCATCAACTGGACAAACCCATGAGCATCGCAGACGCTGTGGCTTATACACACACCGAGCGAGATAGATCCACACCCAAAGCGTGTATATTGAATACTCAAAATTGGCTGCCGAGAGAAGTCCTCGTGCGAGCCATTCCTTTGTGGAAGAAGTAGGTTCCCCTGGTCTGGAAAGCCCCCGCGGGATAATTGCGTGGCTTTTGAGGGCAATGATGTTTCGCAGAGCGCTTCACTTAATTCTACACCCTCGCCCAATTGATTGATTTCAGGGCTCCCATCCTCATCATTGATATGCACACGACCCGTTAGGTGTGGATAAAAGTCCAGCAACCGAGAAAGGGCCATTTGCAGAAGGTCAAACGAAATGATCGGGTCAGATGTAGCGGCATTGCTGTCAAGGGGTCGCCTCCATACAAAGACGACTGCAATTACAGCAGAGGGTGGCAACAAGTGATCAAAGGGCCCAAGTGGAAAACTGCTTGCAAGCTTCGTGGTGTTGCTTGTATCTGCACCTTGCACTGTGTGCGTCGCAAGGATTGCAACAGGAGAGCTAAAAGACATCTGGGGCATTGACAATCTGGTCGATGATATTGAGTCCTTGGAATTTTAGTACCGGTGTTCGTTCCAAGGTCATCTGCATACTCATCCGACACTTTCAGATGTCAACAATTTTCTCGCAATTGACTATCCGGCGGTGAAGAAAAATGGTGTCACCAGTTATCGTCGCTGTTCTGACGGTTCTACCGATTCTAACGTCAGCACGGTTTCGGACACGCAGTCTGGCGGGTGAGTTACAGGCCCAATCAGAATGCCAGTATTGTGACACGTATAGGAAAGCGTTCACTAAACCAATCTGATCTCTATATATGTCGTTCTTTCACAGTGGTCACTCCTCAGGATGCCGAGTACTTGATAGAGGGGTGAAGTCGGATTCAGGCCAGATAACACACTGATAAGAAGAATTGCCTTTTGTTTGCCTTGTTTGCATGGTCAATGCTCTAGATGCCCACAAGACCATACAAGCTTATCATATATGTATGTGGGATAAGCACACTTTGCACACTTGCCTTGCACTTTTCCCCCACCAACCTGGAATTTCACCTGTCTCATAGCTCTTCGCCACACCACGCCCGTTCCGCCGATCGCACGGTACGGAGATAATTATCAAGGCTAATTAAGATCCCTACTAGCTATCTTCTAAATTCTCAAGCTTTTCTGACATAATCTGACTGTGTAGTGTAGCGGAGAAAATATAGGTACTATATAAAAGTGCGACCGGGCAGAGTTATACCTATCCCCAATAAAGATAAGACTACGAATATACCTCACTTTTTAGGAGAAAGTATTATGAAATATACACTTTACTGTGGTGGAAATACTGACTTTATTCGTTTTTACAGGTCCTGTATTTGAAATTGTAACTATTTTGTTTTGTTTCCTACTTTTCAAAAATGTTTATGCTTTTGTTATATATGATATATATATTGTCTGGGTATCCTAGGAGATACTGCTAGCCTTCTCTATATCTATATTACCTACTCCCATATCTACCTTATTTACTACCTTATTACTATACTATCTCTTTCTACTCTTCTTTCTATTATCTTTACCTACTACTACTAAGTATACTATTAATGTTATTACTTATATTTCTGGGTATCTCTACTAATAGGGTCTTTATCACAGGAAAATTGATATCAGTCCCTGATCACATAATACTAGGTTATATAATATTAAAGCAAGAACAAAATCAACCCTAGAGTCTCCTTTATCAGTATAAGATAAGAGTATAAATTACTACTAGTAGAGAACCTATTTATATATAGCAGAGGGATTAACAAGAAAGTATCAGGCTAAATTTATATCTAATTTAGATATAACTATCTTATAGAATAAGGGATTACTTTATATTATAAATAGGTAACTTAGACTTAATTCTTTAAAGATTCTTTAAGAATTAGTCTCTATTTTATAATTAATACTTAGACTTTTTTTTCTATTTCTTATCTAACTAATTAGTACTAACTAATATCTTAATAATTTTTTATAATTTTGATTCTTCTCTTTTCTATTATCTAAGAAAGAAAGAGTATTTATTAATTATAATACTATGAGTATTATAGTATAAAACCCTATAACAAAATACGCCAAAGCTCCGGCTATAACAACCGATAGGTGACGCCTAAGCGGCAACCGTGCTGACGCCTAAATAGGCGCCCATATTGGCACCTCAGCTCACCAATACCCCGCTTATGGCGCCCGTACATCGCCTAAGCCTACCTATAACAAATAGGGTGGTTATAACAATAAAAAGCTAGGTGTAGCTATAATACTTGATATACATATAGGACCTTCTTCCCTATAGAATAAGTCAGAAAATAAGCAAGACAATCAATATAATATCAGCAAACATTGCAAACACCAATCTTCTCTCTTATTGAACAAACCAAATACCTCCTTCTTCTTCATCCAACTTTCCCTAAGTCTATTGAGACATACTGAATCTCAGAAATACTAATTACTTAATATTTTTAAGATTATATATACGTAGAAGAATATTCTAATGATAACTAAATTACTCTAAATTATACCTAAAACTAGATTAATACAATTAATCTAGAGTCTAGTACTACTATAACTAGATATAAAAACTATTTTAAAAAAGATCTATTATTAGGATTTACCTTAGAGAATATACTTATATTTACTCTTATAAGATAATAATGTCTCTATAAAAAATAGTTAGAAATAGAATAATTAATTTAAGAGATGATTTAAAGTTACTAATAGATTTAAGATCTTTCAAAATATTAGTAAAACTAGAAAGAATAACTAGAACTTCTTTTTGAGTCTTATTATTATTACAGACCTTGTGATAAGAGGCCACAACTTATTAATAGGCTACTAAGAGCTAACCAAACTAAAGGGGTATATCTTAGCTCTAAAAGTTATGTATACTAAGATAGGCACCTAAGATACCCCTAGAACCATAGGTTAGAAATACTTAGAATAAGATATATAAATAGGTATTCCTTCTACTATTACTAATACTATACCTAAAGATATAAGGTATAGTAAAAACTATATAATTATATAACTATACTCTATCTATTTATATAGAATAGACCTGATCTTATAATAGAGTTAGACTCTATAAGAAAGAAAGAACTAGATATATATAGGATATTTTATATATATATTTAGTTCTTTATAATTAATTAATCTAAGTTACTATAGTATACTTTTAGATTACTTTTTATTTGGTTTTATCTCTTATAGTAAATATACTATAAGTAGGGGAGTTTTTTAGACTAATCTACTTAGTATACTATCTAGTACCTTCTTTAAAGTTACTTTATAGAATCTAAGTCTATATAAGACTTAGTATAGTAATAGTATAATTATAAATTTAGACTTAAGAAGTATAAGTAATAGATATTATAGATAACTAATAATATAAAGAATAACTAGTAAGTTATTTATCTAGATCTAATTACTTTCTATAACTAGTTAGTAAAGTATATAATAATTATCTCTATTATTTAGGTAAAATTTATAATTAATTTAGGAGTTAAATCTAGAGACATTAGAAAAATTAAAATTAAAACTCTTACTAGTAAGTTTTCTTAATAAGAGTAAGAATTATAGATTTTTAGTTTTAATATTATTTTAAAAGAGAATCAAATTACTTATAATAATAACTAAATTTAGATTAATAAAATAATATAATATCTTAACTAATATTACTAAACTAAATAGATATATTATTAGAAATAAAATAGTACTAATTGATATATTTATTAATAGAATTTATTTTTAGAATAGATAATTGGTCTTATCTTTAATAAATAAAATTATAGATATAAAACTTAATTAGAATTTAAAAGACTGAAGTATAATTATAAAAATAATCTCTAAGATTTTTATAATTAAATAAAAATATATAAATTTTATTTTAACTAAATTTCTGAATCTAAATTTATTATAGAAAAAATCAGTAGAGTAGATCTTATAACTCTTAATTTATAGTTAATAGTAAAGAGAAGTACTTAACTTTATATACTAATTAAAATTAATAGAGAAAATAATAGTGATTTAGTATTAATAAGATAAATCTAGAGATTATAATACTATACTATTTTACTAAGGTTCTAAAAATAAAAATAGTAATATTTATAATTATTAAATTATCTAATAATAATATCTAGTTTCTAGAAGAGAAGATAAAATTAATTACTTTATAATTAAATCTAGAGTTGATTCTCTCTAAATTCTATAAGTTTAAAGATAATTTTTAATTATAAAATACTAAAAATTATATTACTAAGAAAAAAATAGAGTATAGAATAGAAATTAAAAAAAGAAAAAACTCTTCTTATAAACTAATTTACTCTTTTTCTTAGTCTAAAATAAAAGTACTCTATAAGTATTTAGATAAGAATTTTAAGAATAAATAAATTTATAAGTCTTAAAGTTTTATTAGAGTACTAATACTTTTTATTCTAAAGAAAGATAAAAGTTTATAATCATATATTAACTAATAGAAATTTAATAAAATATTAGTAAAGAATTAGTATCTCTTACTACTTATTTTAGAAATCCTTAATTATCTCCTAGGGATAAAAATCTTTAGTAATATTAATATTTAAGATATATATTATTATATCTAAATTAAAGAAAGAAACAAAGAAATAGAAAATAGTATTTTAGATATAATATAGATACTTTAAGTATATGATTCTACTTTTTAGACTTATAAATTTCTTAGTAACTTTTTAAAATTATATTTATTTAGTATTTTATAAATTACTTAATATTATTTATATATTATATATTACTAACTAGTCACAGTTAGTGGTTCAATAGTTAGTAAATATTACCTTATTTTTAGAGAGAAGAATTATAAACTACTAGAAGATAGCTAGAACTAGTATTATTTAAGTACTACTAGATAATCCTTAAGTATTAACTTATAACTATATTATTACTGTACTAAGCCTTATATAGGCTTAGGTTCTATTAAGTAACTTTAAAAAATATACTAGATAGAGTACTAAGTAAGTTAGTCCTAAGAGCTTCTCTACTTATAGTATATTTATTATAAGATTTAAAACTAAGTAAAGAGTAATCTAAAGATATACTATAGTAACTTAGGTTAATTAATTATAAAGACTAAATATATATATAAAGTAAGTATCCTCTATATACCTAGTCCTTCTTAGTATAGTATATTAGAAGATATATCTAGTAGTATATCTAATTATACCTTTCTAACTACCTCTTAGTATATCTATTAGTATACTCTAGGGTTATATAGTACTTTTACTAAATACTTATATTTCTAGTATAGTATTAGTAATAGTAGAAAGAATACTTATTCCTATATTATACTAGTTATTACTTAGTTTAGTATAGTATTAGTTAGTATAGTGAATCAGAGACTAATTCTAGCTATTAGTTATATAATTTGTTCTTTTATTCCCCTCCTAGGAACAGTTAGCTCTCGGTGGCCTATCTATAGGCTATAGCCCCTTATGTTGTAGGGTCTATAATATATTACT